CCTTGGGAGCTGTCGAGCACCGCCTGTGCAAGCCCCAGAGCACATCTCTAAAAGCTGTCCTGTGTTCTGGCACATCATGTAACCTTTGCAACACAGTTTAAAACCAGTTCAAGTGTAAACAGCTGTGAAGCAGTGACCCAGTTTTCCAAGAGGTACCACAGCCTTTGGTGTAGGGGCTTTTTGGTCACAAGTCCTGCTTCTCCTGGAACGGAGGAGCCTTGGGGATGTGCTGGCTCTGGAGCAGCTCGCTCAGAACTTACTCTATTTGGTGCTTTGCTGCCAGACTGCAAATCATCACCAGGAGCTGGTGGCTCCAGTGCAGACCCTGTGAGTGGGGAATCTTGCTGCCCTTCCCCCCAGCAGGGCTGCCTGGCACAGCCCTGCACCTCCCACCACCCCACCTCCCTGCTTCCCCAGCCCTTTGCCGGGGGTCACAGCAGCAGTGCCCCCACAAATGTGCCCCGCTGGGCAGGATCAGAGCAAGCCGGCTCTGGCAGAGGCTGCGTTCCCACAGCTGAGCTTGCCCTCCCCAGTGTGTGTTTGCTGTGTCTGGATCCAGCTGCAGGGAAGCTGATGCACCAGCTCCCCTCCTCGGAGCAGCTGCAGCCGCCGCTCCGGCGCTGGCCCCTTGCCCCGCGCTCCGAGGGGAGCGGTGGCACGCCGGGAGCCCACCAGCTGACACCTCTCCCGGCGGCCAGAGGGGCTTTGCTCCGCTTCCAGATTGAAACTCGGGCTCTGGCAGTGCTTCCACCTGGCTCTGGAGGCTTTCAGATGAGCTTTCTCTTTTCCAAATTGGCCTGTTCCAACCTCTTGTGCAGCTAGGCAGGGTGCGGAGCAAATGGTGCCTGTGCAGCACGTCGTAATCCCTGCGGAGAGCGCTTGCCTGGGAGCGATACCAAAATAGAGCTGCTTCAAACAGGAAATAAAAAGACCCAACAGCAGCATCTGCAGCATGTTTTTCAGTCCTTGCCTGCTGTTTCCTCTCTGCATTTGGGTGGATCTAGGGGAGAGGATGTGACCGGAGCAGTCTGGCAGCCGCTTTGGGCAGAGAAGAGGAGCTGGGGTTAGAGCCATTGGCAAAGAGCTGTGAAATAGCAGGAATTAATGGATTGCTCATTTTAATATTACCAAATCTGGGCCAGAGGGGATGGACAGTCCCCTCCAGAGCTGAGTCAGCACCGTCCTGCAGCTCTTGGAAACTAAAGCCCTTTTCAAGCGCGGTGTCTTTGGTCTTGCAGAGCTGCTGGAACTGCGGTCGCAAAGCCAGCGAGACGTGCAGCGGCTGCAACATCGCCCGGTACTGCGGTTCCTTCTGCCAGCACAAGGACTGGGAGAGGCACCACCGGATCTGTGGCCAAGGCCTGCATGGCCAGAGCAAGCCCCTGGCTCTGCCCACGGGCCGAGTGGCAGCAGCTGCCAAGAGCCTCGACGGCATCCCCAGCCCGGCCCTTGAGAAGACTTCGGCGACCACCTCCCGCTCCTCCACCCCGGCGTCGGTGACAGCAATAGATACAAACGGGCTCTAGGAGGGAGGTGTTGGTTCACTCCATTTGATTCGTTTCCCGGGTTTTTTTAAGCTGGAAAAAAAAAAAAAAAACCTACAGCAACTGTTATCACTTGACACATTTGACATGCGTCGCGCTGCCTCCTCCTCAGAGCGCTGACACTCCGGCTTTGCCATCTCATCCTGCCTTTTCCTTTGTGGCTCATGAACTGGGACAAGCCTTGCCCACAGCAGCTTCCCAAGCCCCTCTTTGAGGGGGGCACCAGAGCATCGTCAGGACCTGGGGGACACTGGGCACCCCCTCGGGGGATCTGGACTGTGGGGAGAGCACGGGCACACACCGGAGACGCGGAGCGCGTGGTGCCCGAGCAGGGAGCCCCATCCTTGTGGCATGCTCAGGCTTCCCGAGGTGTCTGAGCCACCACCTCCTTCAGCCACCTTTTTTCCATAACATCCCTCTGTTTTCCCCCTTACTCCCAGGCAGTGGTGCCTCAGGTGGCTGTGCCGGCCGGTTGTTGCTGTGAACAGACCGGAGCTGATTCCCCAACAGGAGCATCCCCTCCTCTAGTGCCACGGCAAAAGCTGAGCCCAGCTGCTTCTGCCTGCAGCTTGGCAGCTGATGGTTGCAGAGAGGGAGGAGAGGATTTGTCTGCTCTAAACCAAATGCCAGTGCTGGGGAAGTACTGTGGGATGGCCTGGATTTCGTCCCGTTCTGTGGTGGGACAGACGGTTGTGTGTTTCCTGGGTGGGACCTGTGCTGAGGGAACACGTGCAGAGCAGATCTGGGTTGGGTGCAGCTGTCCTTTCCACCTGGGGACTGTTGTTTTGGTGTGCAGAAGGCGTTGGGGTTTTTTCACTGCCTGGAAGCTGTTGGTTTGTGAGTTCCTGCCGTTGTTTTTGAGCCCAGGGATCCTCATGGGGTGCGAGAGGGTGATTTACAGCCTGCGCTCTCTGCACACATTGACCAAACTGCTAAAAGACAAGCAGGACTTGGTGTCCTGCATCACTTCTTCCCCCCAGTCCTGGGAGGCTCCTGTGGTGCTGCATCAGGAGATGCCCCAGGATCTGCCTCATCCAGCCTTTGGAGACCATCCCAAAAATGCAGGCTGAGAGCGAGGCCCCGTGGGGATGCCGTGATCAGCCTGGGGAGATCTGTCACTTGGAGATTCCCTGCTGTGGAGTGGAAGGAGGGATTGGAGGGATGATCAACGCAGACCTGCAGCAGGGCTGTCCCAGGGCACAGCGGGGCTGCTCTTGGATGCCTAACAGAGGTCAGCAGCGGCACAGCCCGTGGGAAGGACGGGCATGTGCCCTCTGGGAGCGGCTCCAAATTCCCACAGTCGCACAAACAGGCTCTGGAAATCCATCTATTCAGCAAAGCCGTGTTTCCGTGACTGTGTGTGTGTGCAATTGCTGGGCTGGAGCCCAATGAGGCGAGTAATTCCCAAATTATTTTTGATCACTCTCTCAATTGGAGGTGAATAGCGGAGCTGTAATGAATCGTCACGGGGTTTGGGGCAGGGAGGAGCGGGAGACCCCGCTGCACCAACTCTGGCTCCGTGGGAAAGCTCTTTGGGAAGCTGCTGTCGTGGGATAGGATGGGTGATTCGTGTGTCTGCAAGGTTTTATTATGCAAAAAAAAGCCCCCCGTGGCTGGTGTTGAAGAGGGGTTGGGAGTGGCAGAGGGGAGAATACCCCCTGTGTCCCCCAGGAGTCGGTGCTGGGAGAGCCCTTTGCGTGGAGCCCAGCACAGCCACTGGGATTGAGCCAGCCCCCAGTGGGGGAAGGCACTGGAGCCACCCTGACCTGCAGGAGCCCAGAGGTGTCACCCAGCTTTGGGCAGATGGAGGTGGCCAGGGAGCCCCAGGTGGCCCTCACGAGGACCCCAGAACGCGTCTCTGTCTGTGTTTGCTGTGCCCAAATCCATGGCATGGAGAAAATGCCTCAATGGGGAAGAGCAGCACTTTGGCCTTGTAAGAGCACCAGGGTGAGGGGCTGTCCTGGATCCTCCACTTCAGCCAGGGCTGAAGGGTTTTCCTGCCCTGAGGGACACACTTGGAGCAGGCTCAGGTCAGTAACGTGCTTGTGACATCCCATCCTCACCTGCAGACAGACCTGGCACTGTGGTTAACTGTGCCAAGGTGGGATGGGAAGGGAGAGCAGGGCAGAGCTGGAAGGAGTTGCTTGTAAATAGATTGTCTTCCATAATTCTCATGCAACGTTGATGGCCGTGTATTAAAATTAACCCCAGTGTAAATGAATGAAATGCTAACAGTCATGATTAGAATGATTGCTTCTTCTTTTGTTTTGTTTTGTTTTGTTTTGTTTTGTTTGGGTTTTTTTCCCCCAAAAAAACCCATGGAATGATAAATGTGAACTTGGGACACGGGAAGACATTGGGTTGAGGTTTTTATTTTTTTTTTTTTTTTTTTTTTTTTTTTTTTTTTTTTTTTTTTTTTTTTTTTTTGACATTTAATTCTGTAATAGAAGTTTGTTACTTCATTCCTGTGCATAACTTATTTAATGTTCTGTATAAAGGAACCCAAACTGTTACAGATGTATTTAGTTTGTTCTACTCAAAAGTAGTCAATAAAAAGACTATATTCATCCTCCAGCTCCCCCTTGTCTGTGGGAAGGGGCAGAGGTGTTTTCTGCAGTGCTTAGGCTGTTGTTGGGGTTTTTTGGGAGATGCTGCCAGACCGTGGCCTTGAGCTGGGGACCTGCAGGGACAAAGGCTGCCTCCCCTTCAGTGGTGGTGCTGCTGCAGGTGCTGTGGGGAGGCTGAGCAGAGCCTGGGAGCAGAGCTGGAGTTCAGCCCCATACTCAGTGATGTTGGATTTCTTTGAGTTCATGGGTAAGTATGTTCTTTTCTGAGCTTTTTTTAACTTACTTTTTTTTAATTTGAGCAGACACCAGCCTGCAGGGTGCTGTCACAGCTGCCACCTGCAGAGGACACCCCCTGCACACACGGTGGCCTCATCTGAGGATTTTGCTCTCTGGGCTCATGCAAACACTAATCCAGTGGTGAAGAATCTGAGGGACAAACACCACATGGGGCTGGGGAGGCAGCTCAGGAATCCCAAATCCAGTGCCTGCTGCAGCTCTGCCCTTTGTGGATGCCCTGGGTGCCCATGTCTAACCCACCCTGGCTGTGCCCTGTCCCTTTACCGATGGCCACAGCACATCCTCAGTCCCTTGTGTGTCGTTCCCACCGGGGGAATGTGGTCCCTGGCTCTGCAGCTGCCCTGCAGGGGGATGCAGCTGCCTCTCCTGCCCTGGGATGGTGGTTTTGGCCAGGGCAGGCAGCAGTTACCAGCAACCAGGTATGTAATTGGGCACTTGGAGGATGGGTCCCCAAGGAACTGGGAGGAGCATTTGTGGCTTGGTTCCTGAGTCAGCCGTGGGACGTAGGACAGGGTTTGTTGGTGCCCATCTGGGTTGCTCTTCCTCCCCTCTAATGAGGATCTCCCCTGATCCCCTTTCTGCAGGTCACTCCCGGCATCAGCTGCGTCACTCCCCGTCCCCCAAACCCAGGGAGCACCTAGAAAGCTTCTGCTGGGGCAAAACAAGCACCCCAAACCCAGCAAGCCCCTCTGAGTTGTCATTCCGTGGTACCAGGGCTGGGGGTGACTCTGTCAGACCCGCCCAGCACAGTGTGGATGAGGTGCCCCCAGGATGGAGCTGCACTCACTGCCCCTTCAGCCACAGATTGTACTTATTGCAGCCTGGGATTTGGGAAGAAACAGTCAAAATTAGTATTTCTGGTGGAGCAGCAGCAGGGAAAAGAGGTTGAGGGGTGGTGGCAACCCTGAGCGTGGAGGGTGCAGGCACCCGTGGTGACCCACGTGGGTGTTGGGGACAGACAGGGGCGCAAGGACAGTGGTGTCCTCCATGCCAGGAGTCCCTGGGGTCCCTGCGTGCCCCATGTGCCCTTCTCCCCTCACTCCACACTGGTAGCGATGGTGCATTTCACCCCAGCTCAGGGAAGGATTTGCTGCTCCAGCACCAACGACAGAACCATGAGCACGACCCATGGACCAGGTGGGCTTGGGCCACTCCAGCCCTGGGCCTGTCCCCCTCATTTTGTGCCCCCCCTCCCCAGTGCCCATCACCATTAATTCAGTTCCAGCCTCCCTGGCAGCACTGCCTGGTGCTAACACTGCTTTATGTGAGCTCATGAAGCAACAGAGTCATCCATTCCCTGGGGAATGGATGTGCTGGGACTGGAGCCACACTGGCCTCCCCCAGGGACTGGGATGTGCTGGGGCTGGATCCATGCAGGCCTCCTTGAGGAGCAGGGCGTGCTGGGGATGGGCACAGCCTTGGTCACAGCTGGGGGACACAAGGCTGGTCTCAAGACCACTGCAGTGGCTGCACAGGCTGCCACTGTGCCAGGGCCTGATCAGGCTCACCTTGCCAGAAATAGTTCATTAAAAATTTTTTCCCTATAAAACACTTACTCACAATCCATGAGAGGCCACCTGGCTCCCTGGGCAGAGCTGTTGCTGGCCCAGGGTGGCTCTGGCGGGCTGGGCACAGGGATGTCACAGCTGGCCCCAGCCATGTCCCCCTCCCCATCCCAACACCCCCTGGAGCCTCGGGCAGCCCTGAGAACAGGGAGGAAGAGGAGCTGGAGTGCAAGAGGGGCTAAGGGGACACAGCAACCCAACCAGTGCTCCCCCAAGGGCCAGGCTGTCCCCCCCAAACACTGCACTCCCAGCACTCCAGGAGTGCCCCACTCTCACCGGGCAACTCAGAGACTGTCTTGGAGGGGAAATAAATAACTAAATAAATTAACATGAAAAGAGCAAAGGGGTAAAACACTGGCAGGCAGCCCCTGCTGGGCAGCTGGAGGGGATGAGGGACAGGGAGAGGAGGAACGTGAGGGAAGGCGAGGGCTGTGCCAAGGGCTCCACGTCCTCCTGCATGCTGACGATGTCCTGAGGTGTCTGCCTGGGTCAGTTGTTGTTCATGATCCACCAGGAAGCTGGGGAGAGAGGGAGAGGAGTCAGGGATGTGAGGACAGTGGTAAACAGGAGAGGGATGTAGGGTGGAAGGGATGGGGGTCCTGGCCCTGCAGGTCCCTGGCACCTGGCCCTAAATCACCCACCTCCCCTCCCAGGGGGCAGGGAGCTGGAGATGGGGGATCCCCCTTGAGCTCTGGCAGCTCCTGCAGGAGAGCACTGGGAATGTGGTCAGTGGGACCAGCAGGTCAGGAGCAGCGCTGGCAGCAGAGGGTTCAGTCCAAATTAATCCACGTTTTAGGTTATTTTACACAAGACCTGAAAGCGATCCCTGAAACTAAACTGGCGCTGTAACCCTGAATGCAGCCCCTGGGACTGACCCAGGAGCGCCAGAGCTTTGCAGAACAGGTTCAGGGCTCAGGTAAAAACCAAAACATGGCACCAGGTGTATTTGAGACAGGGCCCAGCTTATCTGCTACCTGGGAAGTGCCCCTGCTGCTTGGCTGTCCTGGCCGAAGGGGACAGACCCTACAGTGCCACCAGCTCACACAACCAAACCTGCTGGGGACAGTGGGTCTCACCCTGGCTTGAAAAACCCGATTCAGATCACCCCAAACCAATCTTCTGCCCTGGAGGGAGTCCCTGTGCCTGTCCCTGCGCTGCTCCTGCCCTCTGCAGCACAGCTGGAGCACAGCGTGGCTCTGTGGGACCCCCTCACCTGGGAACAGCATGGTGGTCAGCAGCTCCGGGGACTCCAGCAAGCTGATGATGGACTGCTGGAAAGTCTTGCTGCAGCTGGACTGCAAGTGGCTGTAAAACAGGCAGCAGGGTCAGGGGGTGCAGCCTCTGGTGCCAGGATCCCTGTCCACGCACGGGGACAGGGCTGCTGCTGCACCAGACACTCCCAGCTACACCCACGGAGAGCTCCCACCTTCTCCACGAGGTCACGTCCTGCCAGAACTCGTACAGGATGAAGCAGGCCTCGTCTGTCAGCTTGCAGGCAGAGACACTGTGGGGACAGGAGTGACCCTGAGCTGGGGGTGGGCACAGCCACGTGTGCCCCACCAGCCCAGGCACATCAACCTCCCCACAAAGCTTCCCAAGCGCAGTTCGGATGCACCGGGTTTGTGGCTGCTGGAGCACACAGCTCCAGGGGATTCCAAACCCAAATCGTGCCTCACAGCTCCTGTGTCCAGGCGGCAGAGGAGCTTTACAGCTTTTAAAAGGGTCTTTGCTGCTGCTCAGGAATCAGACCAGTCAGTGTTTTATTATTTCCACAAACCCCCAGCACTGGCACAGCTCATCCTTCCTGCCCTTTGGAGTAGGTGTCACCACTCACCTGGAGAGAAACTGAGGCACAAGTGCAGGAGCTGAACATGAACCCACAGCTCGCTGCCCCCAGAGTGATGCCGTTGCCCCAGTGATGCTTCCCACACTCCCTCCTGCCCCAGGAACAGCCCTTGGGAAGATGGGGGTGCAGCAGCAGGAGGGTGAGAGCACAAGGCTTGGAGTGCAGGGCTGGGGGAACCAACTGCACTCGGCTGCAGCAGCAGCAATTCCAGCTGAGGATGGGCCTTTCCTCCAGCTGCTGCCAAGGGCTGCTGGAGGGGGCCAAGCCTCAGGGGGACAGCAAACAACTCCCCCAGCAGCTCTGAGGTTGCATCCCCCTGAGGGGCCACGATGGGCTTTGCAATTCCCTGGAGTGAACCAGGAATGTGGAGTCTCCCCGGGCTTGGCTCCAGCTTTCCACTCACGTGGAGAGCCTGCCCATGCAACGCCACCCCGTTGTCTCCACAAATAGCTCTCATGACAAAAAAAGCCCACCAATTCCAAAGAAAAGAACTCCCATTCTCCCTGTCACATGTGTCACAACGAGCATCTTCCTTTTGTTTGGACTGAAAACGTGCATTTATGCCGCTGAAACTGGAGAGCTGAAAAACGACACTTTAAATGGGAACAGCACGAACGTTCCCTGCTGAAAGCGGCTCGAAATCTCCCGTGGGAGAAGGGAAGTGGCGCTCGGGGAGCAGCTGTGCCATCTCAGGGACAGGATGGCAGTGATGTCCCTGCAGGCAGACCCAGAGCCCTGGAACAGCCTTGGCCTCATGCAGGGTCAGCTTCAGGTGCTCATGGATGCTTCCCACACACGCCATCCGTAAATCAACGCCCTGCATGAGCTCTGGCCTTGACCTTCCCATCGCTTTCGAGTCCTTAAGTGCTGGAGGAGTTCGTGCACTCACTTACATGCACGTGCCACTCCTGCTGGCATAAAACCCACCCCCTCCTTCCCAGGCACTGGTTCTTACTGGGAATACCTGCAGCAGAAGCTGGGACAGTGCTGCAGGCAGGGACAGTGCTGCAGGCAGGGACAGTGCTGCAGCCGTGACACGCTCACCCTCTCTGCAAGGTCCAACCCCTGCGTGCTGAGCCCGCCCTTGCACTGACCAGCACACGAAACTCTCCACAAAAAAACCTTTTTGTCCACCCCAAAGGTGCCATATTAAAGCCCTCACTTCTGGGGGAGCCACGCCACAAACCGCCCCACAGCCCCCCCCACTTACTGCAGGCAGCTGCTGTGCCCAGCCGTGCCCTCGGTGTAGGAGCGGAACGCCTGCCGGAACTCCTCAATGCTGCTCGTGGCCACCGAGATCTGCCTCTTGGCCACCAGGATGTGCTGCCAAGGGACAGAAGGGCCTCAGGGACTGGTCTGTCCCCTCCTGCCCTCCCTTCTCCCACCCTGCTGAGGGATACGGTGGTGCCAAGCAAACACAGCACCGCAGTGGGACTGGCACCACAGTGCTGGGGACAACGGTGACATAAAGTGGCTTCTTCCCACCTGGGCAGGTTGCCTTTCCACTGAGGATTGCACCAACAGGAGATGCTCCATCCCCTGGGGGTGGGGTCCTGCTGCAGTTCCCTGTGTCCTTCCCACAGCAGAACAGGGCTTGGGGACCCCTCCACGTGGGGCTTTGCACGGAGCACACCAGGGGGAAAACAGAGCATCACCTTCTTCTGGGCTGGCTGTGGGCATTGCCTGGGGCTCTCAGGGGCCTGAGGGAGCTGCATTTTTGGGGGTGCACATTTGGGGGTTACCTGCAAACAAGGAGCAGCAGGACAGGGACTTACTGCATCTTGTCCTTTGCACATGGATTCCTCCTCCTTCAGCGGCTCCAGGCGTGGGCTCTGCATTCAACACCACAGGGAAAATCAGAGTTACTGCAACGAGGCAACCCTGGAACCCACAGCCCAGCTTAAGGGACAGGCAGGTGCACTGGGGATGTTCCTTGGGTACTTGGGGGAGGACAGGCATACGACCTGTGGGGTTGGTGGGTCCTGACTGACTCGTCAGATCAGCAGGACCATGGGAGGGTCAGCAGAGCTGAGAGGAGAAGGGTGGCTGAAAGTCTGGGTCTGGTGAGTGGGTGCAGCCCTGTGACGATGCCAGGACCAAATACAGGGGGTGCTGGCACAGGGAGGGGCCCCAACACCGACCTGGCCATGCCAAGGTGTGGGGCAGCCCCCAGCAGCTCTCCTTGGCCACACACCTTGTACTCCAGCTTCTCGATGAGCTGCTGGAGCCTGTTGATCTGAGCCATCCACTGGCTGTTGTCCTCGACACAAACACCTGCATGGCAAAGGGCACAGAGACATCACCAAAAAAACCCTTCAATTTTGTCATTGCAAAAGCTTGCTCAACACCCAGGAAACCACGAGTCTTCTAAAAACCTCAGATTTAAACCAAAAAAACCTGATATTTCTGCTGAAAACTTCTCCCACTGCCCAAGGGCTACGACACCCCACAGAAGCTGGCACCTCGGTGAGATGCTCCAGGCTCCATCCCAGAGCTGCCCAGTGATGCTGTAGACGTGGCACATGGTTTAGTGGTGGGCTTGGCAGTGCTGGGGTAATGGTTGGACTTGATCATAGAGGTCTTTTCCAACCTTAACGATTCTGTGTTGATCCCAGACCCATTCCAGGCTCCAGAGGGGCACAGACCAACCCCAGGGACACCAGGGATCCCAGAGACACCAGGCTGCAGGTACCTGTTGTCAGCATCCCAGAATAGGGGTCTGTTGGAGACAGACAGACGTTCTTCTGTCCTCTGCGCCCACACCGTCTACCTGCCCTCGGGCCAACTGAAGTCTCAGATTTCTTTGTGTCCTTTCTGGAAGGATAAAATGCGGAACGAGGGGGTTGAAGTCGTTCCCAGAGGGATCAGCTTCACGGCGGGCTTTGGAAAGGGCAGATCCTGCTCTGGGATGCCCCTCCCAGGGAGATCCCACGAGCGGGGCTGGGGGACCAGCACGTCCCACCCCCGTTACCTCTCCCGTCCCGCCTGCTCCTCCACGGTGTCCACAGCACACTCCAGGGACGCCTGCAGGGACTGCAGCTGGTGCATGGTTTCCCGCAGAAGGAATCTGGTCAGGAACTGCTCCATCTTCGAGGAGGTCTCGTACCTCTGCGGAGAAGAGGAGAGGACCTGTCAGGCGCCTCTGACTCCATGCGGGGGGAGCAAAGCCACACCTGGGAGGGGTTGGCCCTTAAATGTAAATAAAGGGGTGGATATCAACCAAATTTTTAGTTATTTCAGGAAAAAGTGACACTACAGGGCAGAAGAACCCTCTGAGCACCTGCCTGTGAGATCACAAGAGGGAACACAGGCATGGTTCCATCTGCACTCCAGCCACAGGACCCACAGCCCCAGCCCCAGCAGTCTCAGCCCTGGCCCCAGCACTCTCAGCTCCGGGAGCCGTGGAGGAGAGCAGATGGACACAAGCCACAAGGTAAAGGGAGTGTCCCCAGCTTCAGGGAGGGTTCCAGGGCTGGCAGATCATCCCTCGTGCCCTCCCCATTCACACAAAGGCTCTGCTCACACCAGGGCTCTCGGGACAAGACTGGGACCCCACAGTGATCCCCCAGGTGCAGGGAACCCCTTCCAGGGATCCCTCACCACTGGTAGGCCAGGATAGGGGCTGGTTTCATGCCCTCTCTCCCTGAGAAGACAGTGCCAAGCTTCTCTGCTCCCACAAGAGGTTCCGTGATGAATGTCTGACGTGTGCTGGTGTTCAGGGTCACCCCACAGCCCTTCCCCATGTCGAGTGTGAGTGAGGGACTGCCCCTGTGAGCCCCACCCCACCTGCCCCATGGCACTGGAGGGGTGTCCAGGAGGAATATGGGTCCGTGTGCCCATTCTCCATCACCATCCTCCTGGTTTAGAGGTGCAGAGTGAACACCAGGGGAGAATCGCCTCCTTTGACCTCCTGGCCATGCTCCTTTGGATGCAGCCCCGGATTTGGTCCAACCACTCGACTCTCCTGTCCAGTTTTCCCTTGCTTCCTTAAAACCACCCAAAATTCTGTCCTTGCACCGCTAGAAAATCTCCAGGCCCCCAGGGAGGGGGACAAGGTACCCAAGGAGGGATGCTCAGCGAGACGTGGAACAAGGAGACAGGACAGGCTGCAACACGTACCCAGACACTTCTAGAGCAGGCACTGCTGTCCTGCAGTGGGGCTGAGCCGCTCTCCCTTGCAGAGCAGGTACCTGGGCCTGGTTTGGCTTCACGAGACCCCTCTTGTCCCACTGCAGGCTCTTCCTCCCTCCCCGGCATCCCTCCGGAGTGCCAGCCATGCTGAAGCCTGCAGTCATCATCGACAGCGGCAGCAGCTTCACCCGGGGCGGCTTTGCAGGGCAGTGGCAGCCCCAGTTTGTTCTAAGGACTGTGCTGCTGCACCCCTGCAGTGCAGGCCCCAGGAGGGACACCCAGCAGCATCCCACTGCTGCCACGGGAAGCACGGGAGGCTGCGCCGCAACACCCAGGTCCTGCCCACTCAAGCACGGCATCGTTGAGGACTGGGATGGCATGAAAAGCCTGTGGGGCCACCTCTTCTCCTGCAGCCTCAGAGTCCCTCCAGAGGAACACCCGGTGCTCCTGGCTGAGTCCCCGTCCTGCCCTGCCGCCGACAGGGTAAAGGCAGCCGAGGTGTTTTTTGAGAGCTTTGGGGTGCCAGCCCTGCACGTGGCCAACACCGGGTTCCTGTCCCTCTGCGCCCACGGCAGAGTCACCGGGCTGGCCGTGGAGGCTGGGGCGGGAGTGTCCCACGTCACCTCCGTCTGCCTGGGCCAGACCCTGAGGAAGGGCACCCAGCGCCTGGGGGTGGCCGGGGAGCTCCTGTCCAGCCACCTGCACCGGCTGCTGCTGGAGAGCCCCAACCAGCCCTCGGCGCTGCACGCCCTGACGAGGAAGACGCTGTCCCAGCTGAAGAAGCAGTGCTGCTACGTCTCCCTGGACTACGAAAGAGACCTCCAGGACCAAGGTTGCCATCATCCAGCCAGATTCCAGATGCCAGACGGGCACTGGATAACCCTGGGCAAGGAGCGGTTCTGCTGCCCAGAGCCGCTCTTCCAGCCCAAGCTGCTCCAGCACAGCTGCCCCGGGCTGCACCAGCTGGCCTGGCAGAGCCTCCAGACGGTGCCCGACCACGCCAGGAGGGACATACTGGGCAACATCGTGCTCTCAGGCGGCTCCTCCATGTTTCCTGGCTTCCCAGAGAGGATGTGCTTAGGGCTGAACCTCCTCTCCCAAGGCACGGGCGTCCAGATCGATGTCCTGGCAAGCCCGGCGAGGGGCACGGCGGCCTGGGTGGGGGGCTCCATGGCAGCGTCTCTCACGTCCTTCCAGCGCGCGTGGTTGACAAAGGGCGAGTACCAGGAGCTCGGAGCTGAGTGTGTGCACACCAAATTCCAGTAGACAGATGGCAGCCATCCCACTGTCAAGCTACAGCAGGAGGGACTCCAAAACACCGCCTTTGTCCTGGCAGAGCTGCGGCAGCGGTGACCGAGGGCAGCTCCCGCGCTGCCACAGGGGTGCAAAGTCAATTAAAGCGCTCCAAAAGGAACAAGCTGCTTCTCATTGACACTGTGGGTTGCTTCAGTGCCCATCCACAGCAGCAAAGCTGTCCTTTTGTGATGGAAATGTAGCTGCCAGCGCAGGGAAGGGGGCTGCTCCAGCTGTCAGCTCGGCAGAACCCCCAAGGCCTGCAGAGAGCCACAGGGACGGGAGGAAGGAGCTGAGGAGGGGAAGGTCCACGTGGTGCCTGCACTGCAGCCACTTTACTACAGCAGGCAGTTCCACATCCCAGCACTGCACAGCTCAGGGCTGGGTGTGGAGATGAGCTGAAAACCAGGGAACTGAATTCGCTCCTTGTAATTTTGGTATAAAGGTCATTTGGTGCTTCAGGGAGCCGATTCAGCTCCCTGAACAGGCATTTACTCGCCTGGCTTTGCTGCTGCTTCAGTGAACTGGCTCAGCGCAGCAGATGATTGGAAAAGGATCAGAAGTTTCATGGGGGAGCAGCTGGGGAGCACAGCCCAGCTGGCACAGCAGTTCCCTTCCCCAGGGCCAGACCCGTTGCAGCTCCTCAAGGGACACAGACTGGACTGCAGTGGGAAGGAGTCTCCACACGAAGCAGGAGGGCTGGTTGCTCCACACAAGAACCCACCAGGAGAGGTCAACCCCTCTCCTTGAAAAGACAAGGAGGCAGATGAACATCCCCTCTGCCTTCTCTGTGGTGTCCTCATGTGACCCCAAGGCTGTGGCACAGACCCAGAGAGCCAGGCTGCCTTCACCCCCCACCCCGAGCTCCATGAACCATGTCCAAAGAATGTCCAGCAATGCCACCACATTACTCAGGTCAAATATTTCCAATTGCTGCAGTGTTTCTCTCCAACACACAGAGGTTCTGGAATTCCAGAAGCTCTGTGGAGAAGCATGTGGACATAACCCTTCCTTTGCTGGTGCCAAAGGAGGGGAAGGGTGGGAAAGGCCTTGAGCCCCTTGTGGTTTTCTGGTTGTTCTGTGCCACAGCCAAGCCACCAGCCCAGTCCAGGAGCTGCATCCAGCTGGGCACAGTTCTGGCTGGCTGGGATGGGAAGGTAAGTGGAGAAAGTGGAGAGGATACCCATCCCCTGAGCACTGCCCTGGGCTCGTGCTGGAGTTGGCAAAGGAAGGCCACAGCCATCCCCCAGCACCAGGGTAGGCAGAGCAGCCAGGGTGGGGTTTCATTCCTGCTGGAAAATCAATCCCGTTTTCCTGCCAGAGGAAGAGGATGGCAGCGGAGCTCTGCCATCTTACCTTACGTGGGGGTTGGATGCTTCTCCTCCAGCACATCACTCCCCTTCCAAGGGCCAGGTGCTGGGAGAAGCACCAAGCGAACCTTCCAGCCCCCTCCATCCTCTCAGCTTTCACCCTGAGAGGACTCAAGCCTCGTGTCCTCCACGGATGATGTGGTTGGATGGAGTTTTATGGCAGGAGCAGGCGCTGCTCCCACTGACATCACAGCTGTGGGGGGGGCACCTCGAGCCTGCCCTGAGCCCCACAGCTCCCCCCGTGCAGTCCTGACACCCCAAACACACAGGCACAGGCACCAGCCTGGAGTGCCACCCCCCAAAACCCAACTGCCAGCCCGGGGTAGGCTGTGCTTGGAGGGGACTCGGCTCTGGAGGGTCCCACGTGGAATGTCAGCACTGCACAGGATGAGCAGCTGCCTCCTGTCTCTCGCCTTGTCACACACAGCACACCCAGGGGAATGTGCTGGAGGGAAGGATGGAAATAACCACCCCCCCAGAGAGCCCCAAACGCTGCTTCACCCAGCATCAACCCGAAAAATTTCATGCCAGGCAAGGGAATCGACTGAAAAACACATCTTTGCTTCAACCCCAGCTGCCCAGCCCTCCTTGCACTCTTCATTTTGGGGGCAAACAAGCAAAATCCTCTCATCAGGAGCTGCACCACGTGGGTCAAATCCTCTGTAAACAGAGGTTCAATGAAAATGTGCTCTGGCTCATCAAGCACAGTGTTTTCTGCTCACAGGGAAGCCCCGTGGACAGGAGTCACAGAGGAAATAACCCAGCAAGCACAAGACATGAAATTCTGGTCATGGACTGGTATTTCAGCTCTGTTTACCCAGATGAAAATCCCCAGGTTGCCAGGAGATGCTATAATGCTACTTTTAAGAGGTTTTATTACTTCCTTATGATGATAGTTAAGCTTAGGACAGAACGGAATAGGTGGTCATGTTCCTGCCAAAGGAGAAATAATAGCACCTGGCTTGGAGAGGCATTTATGGGCTGGTGTGCAGTGTTTGCAGACTGGAGAATGGAAAGATTTTAGCATACAGGCCCCCTGGGAGAAATATCAGGCTGTTTCCCAAGGTATTTTCACAGTTCACTTCCTACTCTGCTGCTATTACATGGCAAACATGAAGTTCAGCCACAAAATAAGGTGTAATTAGCACACTACAGCACAGCTATCAAGTTACACTTCACAAACATAGGTGGGAATGCCTGAATTTGGAGAAAAAACCCTCTTTTCTTTACCATGTTCCTACCAGCCCAGTGAGGAAGGAGGGCTTCCTGCTGCCCACCTGCAGGCACATGAAAGTGGCCACGAGCAGCTTTGCTGCCCCCACGCACACACAGTGTCCTGCAGTCCCACAGTGAGGACAAACCCAGCTTGCATTTCTCGTGCTCTATCCCAGCATTTATCCTGCAGCTGACAAGGGACGTGGCAGCAGATCCAGGAGCCTGCCAGCCAGGAGACAGCTGTGGAGACAAGTCATTGATCCATGCCAGCGATCCTGGCCCGCAGGGGATGGGAATCCTTCACACCAAAGGGGCTTTTGGCACCACAGCTCCCAAATCCAGAGCTGCAGGATACTCCCCCCAAGCTTTGCTTTCCTGATTTCCCTCCTTGCTGCAGCTCATGGCCCTGGCACGGCCTGAGCAAGCCCAGCACATCCCCCAGGCTCTGTTTCCTGAGCCAACAAGGCAGCCCAGGCTCTCTGAGTCTCTTCCTGGTGGTAAAGTAGGGTTTTATTTACATGAGCCTGTTTACAGCTGTGGGGAAGTACCTGCAGGATGCAGGGGTGAGAAATCCTGTGGCAGCAGGAGTAAGAAACTGGAGATGGATAATGCCCTGACCAAGAGATGCTGTGGCTCAGCTGGTGAGACCCAGGAGAAGTCAGAAATCCCCCTCCCCTTCTTCCAGCCAGTCTGGACATCACTGCCTGCTCAGGAGCCATGTCAAGTCCTCTTAAATACAGGTTGGGAAGAACATCTGCTGCCTGCACAGCCCTGATCTGGAGGCAGAGCTCTGTGGGGAGGGTTATTGGAGCAGGCAGGTCTCTCCCAGTTTCCTCAGAGCACTACAGCTGCAGCTCCAGCACAAGCAGCTCCCTGGGAATGGTTCCAGGGGATCCCACTCTGCCATGGGGTGGTCTCTCTGCCAAAGTGGGGCTCTCAGACCTCAGCCCGGGGCATCACAGGAATGAATCAACAGAAACAAGGGGCAGGTGTAGCGTGGAAGTCTCTGTTCTCTGTCCCCACCCCTGGCTCACTGAGGTGGGAGTTCTGCCTAAAGTCCAACCAAATAAAGCCACTCATCCCATAGTAACTCAAGCTCGAGTCCAATTCTGGAAATACAAATCCGGGAATATGTTCAGGTCACAGCAGGTAAGAAGGCAGCATTTATCATCTCTGGCAGCCTCTAGAATGGCAGGTGTCCCACAGAACTCTGCCCACAGGGTTGGAGCATCGTCCCTTCCTTCCTTCTCCCCAAACCAGAGCCCAGCAGACCAGGGGAGTGCACAGAGATGATTCCCAGGAGGGTCAGTGTCTGCATCAGGGCACTCAGCAGCTCGGGGCTGGGATCAGAGCCCCTGATCAGCACAGACCTCACCTGGGAGAGGGCAGTGCTGTGAACACTGGGCTGCCCCAGCTCCAGGCAGATCCAAACAGGTGGAAAAGCGAGTCCACAAAAGCCTGTTCCAACAGGGAAAACCTGCTTCTCTTTTCCAGGGAACACCAGTGGCACCAGAAACTATGAAGTGAATGAATGCATCACACCAGTACTGTGAGGCAGACAGTGACTGTGCTGTCCTTTGGAGAAATACATGAATATGCACATTCATTACCCACAGAAAAACAGAACAGGAAAGAACTGAAATAAAACATAGCTATCTGGAGAGGATTCCTTCTCTCCCTCTGGCCTTGCTGAGAAGGGGGCAGGGCAGCTGAACCAAAGAGAAAATGCATTTTCAAGCGATTCCCTCTCCTGGCATGAAATTTCCCGAGGTACAGGGAGACACTGCCAAGTCCAGGTCTGGGCAGAGGAAACCTCTGAGAGAAGGACTGACACTACAGAGGCACAAACACCTCTGTGATGACTGTGGGACAGATCCCCTTTTGCCTCTCTGGCAGATCAGCAGGTCAGTGGATGGTGTTCACATGGACGATGCCCTTCATTCCCTTCTGACCAAGCATCAACCCACTGCACCGAAGGGAAGGAAAAGGGCTGACCCTTCCCAAGGATGTAACACAGCATCAGCACCAAGCACATTTAATACATTTCAGGGGCAAAGGGGGCTGCTGGGGTACTGCCAGCACTGGCCACTGCTTTTCCCAGCTGTCTCTATCTGGGCACCACAGCCCTCCGACACACGGGTGGGGGGGGGGGGGTGCTCAGAGCAGGAGGCTGCTTGTCCTAATTAGCAGCTTCCCATCAGCACAAGCTGTAGGGAGAGGGAGAGCATTCCCAGCGGGGATGAACTCTGCATCAGGCTGGGAGTCAATGAATTGCAGCACTTCCTACCTCTCCCTGTTGCCTGGCTGTTCCCAGACAGCGCTGCTGCTGCTGCTGCTGCTGCTGCTGCTGCTGCTGCTGCTGCTGCTGCTGCTGCTGCTGCTGCTGCTGCTGCTGCTGCAGTGACCCCTGCCCCTCTCCAGCGCTGGGTTTTGTGGCTGTGAGCACGGGCTGTGCCAAGCACAGTCTGTCCAGAGCTGCTGGGGTCTATCCAGAGCAGGCTCAACCCTGCAGTCCTCATTTCCTAGCTCACTCCTTTGTGGAGAACACTCTGTTTTGGCTCAGAACTCAACACAGATCATCAGCGATGCCCCCACAAACGGTGGCCGCAGGCAGGACCCTGCAAGGAGCAGCTGGAACAGCCACTACCAGAGCCCCACGAGGAGGAAGATGATGCCTCCAGAGAACAAAAGCACCAGATTTACCCTTCCCCTGCTCAGTCTTGGCTCCCCCTCCTCCAGGCTGTGCAGCTGCAGCACTCACCTCATGCGCAGACGAACCCAAGCAGGCACAGGAACCCCCTCGGTTTGGGAGGTACCACGTTTGCTGCCTCCCAAACCCGAATTTAACACTAAGCAAGCAGCTGAGATCACCACAGCTCCTGTTCCACCCTGCTGCCCTCCCATGGTCCCCTCCTTACCAGCTTGGTTTTGTCCATGGCTGCCAGCACCGCAGCATTGAGGGTTTCCAGGGCAGAAAGCACATTCCTGTATTCCCCGAGATACGCCGAGAAATAATCTGCAGCAGGAGAGGAGACCACGGTGAGGCTCCTGAGCACCTCCATCTCTGCCTGCCCTGCCCCTTCTTCCCACACACAGCCCAGTGCTGCAGGGGCACATTCACCCCTCCCTCCAGAGTCACGCTCCCACCTGGACTGAAATGATTCCTTCCCCTTGGGAAAAGCACTGACACCCTCAGGGCTGGGCTGCAGGCACAGGGACTGTCCATGCCACCTGAGTGCCCAGTCACACACGCACCCCACCACAGACCTTCAGGAGAGGGAGCCCTCCAGGGCAGGAACATCACTTGACTTACCACACAACTTCTCCGTGTCGACGTTACTGCGAAAACAGACAAACAAGCTCTTGTCAGATAGTGGGGCTGGTCTGGGGGAAACTGTTACAATGAGCAGCGTTTTGAGGGCTTGTGTCTTGAGTCCCAGGGGATTTGCTGCTCATTTCGTGTGTTTTCAGAAGCTGCATTAGAAAAATAAGAAGCTGCACAAGTTCAGAGCCAGCAGCTCAGGAGCCAGGCAGCACCCAGGCAGGGCTTTGGGGGCTGAAGGAGCAATCGAAGCTGCTCCAACGTTTCCTGGAGCTGGAGTGTGGTGGGAAAGTGTCTTTGACAGCAGAAGGGGGTCAGGATGGAGGTGACCCACACCCCTGGGCTAGCAATCCCCTTTCTGAGCTCTGGAGCTGCTTCTCCAACCCAACCTTTTCCCCTAGAAGTGGGAAGCACCAAGCCAGGGCTCTCTCCTTGTGTGTCTCCCTTGACCTCGCCCAGGTCCTCCCCCATGGATCCCCAGACCCCCTCCCCTTCCCTGCCCTCAGAGCCCAGGTGATGTGGAGCTGCCTGCAGGCTCCCAGGGCAGGGCTGGATGGTTTCACAGCCCACGAGAGGGGTTGTTCCTGCCATGAAGGGCAGTAAATCAGGAATCTGGGTCTAAAAACCTGGAAGCAGAGAGCAGACCCTCACCCTTTTTCACTAACAGAGGGCACTGCACTGCAGAATCCACGCTGGCATCCCTGCAGGGCTTGGGCATGACCCTCCTGTGGCTCATAAAGGTGCTGCTGGGGTGGAGTGGGAGGAGGGTACAGACAGAAACAGCCACAGGTTTTTGGGAAAGGATGTCAAGCAGAACCAAGGAGTTTGCACGATGCTGTCAGATCTGTTCAGGTGGCCAAAGCCACAGAGACAGAGCTGCTCACAAATCTGGCATAATCCAGAGCCTGCAGGGACATGTCCCAGGATGTCATTTGTTCAAATCAGCCTCTGCTCAAGGCATTGTGCTGCCTCAAAATCCCCTAAACGCTTACAGCTGGTTTTAATCCTGATTGGGAAAGCGGAGAAGAGCACAAAAGAGGGGCTTTTAAGTGGTTTTTAAGTGTTTAAGTGCTGTCACACGTGGAAGAACTGGTGATACCTGGAGTTTGCTGGGCTCCAAGCACGAGGACAGCTGCAGCGCTGCTGACCAGGGGATGTGAATTCAAGGTCACATCATCCTGTCCCCCCTCTGACACTGCTCACAGGGCAAAGGGACCAAAACACCCCGAGGCAAAATTAGAGGAGAGTGTGTGAAATCTCCAAAATGCCATGCAAACAGGTGAAATGATTCAAGCAAAATCTTCCCATAGCTTTTCCTCCAGATATCCAAGGCTGGTTTCTGCCTCCCTGTTTCCTCTGGGCTTCCACCTAATGTCCTTTAATAACAGACCTTCAAAGCATGAAAATACTTTGTTGTGATCCATGGCAGAGCCAGGGCAGTGGCACTGCAGACCCCCGTGCTCAGGTGGCTGCACCAGGGGCCTCTGTAGCAGCAGGGAGGGGCAGTGTGAGGCTGTGACTTGGCTCAGCTATTTTAAACACTCACAGGAGCTGATTTAGGCAGGGCCTTGCGCACTGACCTGGCACTGCAGGCAGTTTTTTAAAGTGGATTAAAAAAAAAAATCAGTGCTTCCCTCGAGGCACAATACAGATAAATCTTGCAAAACCACAGCCCCTTCTCCTGCCCACTGCACTCCATCAGACTTTGCTGATCCCATCCCGGCTCTGCCAGACAGAGAGGCTGGAGTTCGAAGCACCAATTTATATTGGAAAAATGTTTCCTTCTTATTTTTTCCCCTTCCTCCTGAAGGCTGCCTGGAGCCTGCAGAGCTGCTGCAGTGCTGCAGGAGCCTTGGCACAGCAGCAGCCACGGCACAGCCCATCAGATCTGTGCCCCAGAGCAGCAACTGCAGCTGCCCATCCAAGAGATGGGTCCAAAAAATCACTGAAGAGGGGATATGTGGGCATAGGATAACAAAATAGCCAGTGAAACACCTCATTCACACATTACCCAGGCATTTGCATCTGTCCCCACTGAGGACCTGGGGCTGGGAATGGTTTCACCAGGGAGAAGGAGCCACCAGCTCAAGCCACTGCCCAGTTCCCACCTTGGCTCCAGTGAGCTGTGACAAAGAGCTGCAACCAACACCCACCTTGTGTCTTCTAAGGAGAGGCCAGGGGTTATTAATAACCCTTTTTATCTTGTCTGTTTGTTGCTTAAAAATAAGTGTTAGCTAATCCATCACTAAAGCACTGAACAGTTGAACACTGAACCAATCGACGAGATCTTGTGGCAAAAAATCAGAGCCCTCTGAGAGTTGTCCAGGGGAAGATCTGCTCCCTTCCCTTCCTGATGCTCCACCAGCAACCCTGCATGGGAATCTCTTCCCACATCCTGCATCCTGCAGCAGCCCCCAGGCCACAGCCAGGGGCAAGACAGAGCACAGCAAGCAAATCACAGGAGTGGTGGTGCCCTTTCCATGCTACCAGAGCTAATTCACCCCAGAAATCAGGAGGAGCTCATGGGAAGAGCCTGCACATTAAACCCCGACCCATACTGCAGGGCTGCATGGGGCAGCAGGTTTTTCCTGCTCCCCTCTGCCATCCCCTCTGCCACTCCAAGAGAAGAGCCATCCTCTGCCTCCAAAGCACTCATCCTGAGACTCTCCACATCTCCCATAGCTGTATTTTGACTGTGCTCAAACCACTGATTAACTGTAATTAAGCTTGAACTGATGATGAAGGATCTTGTCATCATTATGCTGTTGGGATTCTCTCAGAATGTGCCTGGAATTTATGCAAGAAAACAGCAATCAGCTGCAGAAAAGCTGACAGGATTTTTTTTTTAATTTATTTTTATCATTTATCATGTTGGGAACCCCCTCTGCCATCACAGATCGGGTTTCCAAACCTTTTCAGTGTAACACAGGGTGTTTCAGTCACTCTCCTTCACTCAGAGACTGGCAGATGCTGCAGCTCTGAGTAAAGAGAGGGGAGGGAAGTTCATTTAAATCCCTCCTTCCACAGAACCACTGTTACTGTGGGGTTATTTCCACTTTCAGAGCCACCAGGTCAGCACTGCCCTCTCTTTCACTTCTGGCCCAAAGTCAGAGGCTCTGGGCTGTCTGTACCCAATTCCTGAACACTCTCAGGGAAAAAAGGATTTTCCAGACCTTATTTTTCCAAACTTCCCCAGAAGATGCAGGACAGGAAGACATGTAAGGTCCACACAGCACTTCCCAGTGCCCTGCAAAGAGTAGCAGACCTGCAACCTCTGCAACACCACAACCTTCAGCCAAAGCCCTTTGTAAGCAATTCTCCATTAAGTTGTCCTGGTGAGACCCTGGGATCTGCTTTCTCCCACCCAGCTGGGCTCCAGACACATCTCTCCAGATGCTTCTGCAGTTACAGAGCTCCCTCAGCCCTCCAAAAACATCACTTCCTTTTCACCCAGGTGTTTCAGGGGATGAAAATGCACTTTCCCAGGAAGATGAATCTTCCTGTGCCACTGGTGTGGAGCTTCCCAACAAGCTAAACCAAACAAGTGGTCCCAGGTGTTATACCAAACTGCCACCAAGAGCTGAACTTGGTTTCGACATAAACCCTTGAATGTCACGGAATTAAAGAGAGGAGATATTTCAAGCCAAAACACAACAGTTTTCAGAAATGCAGAACAAAAAAAGCCTCATGTGGGAAGGTAAAATCTGAAGTGAACCCTGCAGAGGTGCCTGATTCACGGATCACAGCGTCCCACCTCAGCAGCAGGTGGGTGGGAAGTGGAGGAGAGGAGAACATGGTGCTGTGGGCTCTCTGGAGAGAGAACAAGTAATGAGGGAGACCTCTGAACTCTCTCATCTTCCCAGATGGCAGCTCTGGGGCCCAGAGCAGCTGCAGGTTCACAGAGATGGGTGAGGGTCAGGACAGCTCTGGGCAGTGCCAGACATGGAAAGGGCCTGGATATAAAGGTCTCTGTTACTGTCTGTCCTCGGGTCAGGCTGACATGGACGAGGAAACAAAAATTTCAGCCTAGACCTGACAAACACGGCACCAAATCCACCAGCTAGAGAAAGGCTGAGACCTTCCCATCACCACAAAAGCTACGGGTCACAAAAGAAGTGTGCCAGGTATGTCTGCAGAGCTTGTAGCTGCTTTTCAGCTTTGTAATACTCTATTATGTCAGGTAATAACTCTTGAATCTGGCAGAAAATTTCAGCCAGATCTCTAAAATATTAAGTTTTGCAAGTGCAAGCCAAGCCCAGAGGAGAGGAGCTGTCCAGCCCCCCAGCACGGGGACAGGAGGGCACCAGCACAGCCCTCACAAGGCACCAGAGGCTGCACGAAAGAGCAAGTCCCCCTGCACATCCCAAAACCGACACTGGCTCGAAGCCACCGAGTGCAGGAATTTTGGAAACAGCTCTGTCTGAGGGTCCCCTCTGCTCTTTATGGCAGGAGGAGAACAAAGACCCGAGGCTCATGCCCTGCTAAGGGATGTCACCAGCTCCACGTTGCCACTGCCACGTTGTCATGGCTACGGCACCATCCTTACAGTAATGGGAGCACCACTGCAGCCACAGCCCTGCTCAGCTGCTCCAGACTCATGGGATAAGCCCAGCCTGGAAGCAGTGGGAAGCCAGGAGATGTCCCCTGTTCAGATCAGGGCTCGGTTAAATCTCCTGGCTCCACTACACCCCGTGTTTTCCAGCGGATCTGCACGGGATGACTCCAAGGTCACCCCAAAGTGGAGTGAAGGGAAAGGAGCATTCCCAGAGAAAGGGGAACTTCTGCTTACTGCTAACTTACTGCTGACTTCCTGGGGTCACAGCCCAAACAGAGGTATTTTCAGGAGACCCCTCCTGCTGCCCACATCCACAGGTCCAAGCAGCAGGGCAGGCAGCAGTGAGCAGCCAGGCTTCAGAGAAAGCAGCACCAAAGCCGCCCACACCAGCCCACTTCTCTGCCCCATCACCAAAGTGGGAGCATCAGATAAACCCACTACCCCAACGCCATCAGGAGTCCATCATCCCCACTGCCCCAGTCCCAGGTGGATGATTTTGGGACTGCTGGGTATCCTCTGTCAGTGGCTCAGTGGGATTCAGTGTGACAAGGGCCTCCTGTGCCACTGCCCTGGCTCCCTGCAAAGTCCCAGGACCAGCGTGTGCAGCTCAGGCTGCTCAAGTTTTCTCTCCCTGATGGAGATAACTGCCCTGGCCAAGGGTGCCAGAGGTGCAGGAGGTGCTTCCCAGGGATCAGGGGAAGTGGCACAAGCCAGAGCCCAACCTGCTGCCCAAGACCAGGAGGAAGCTGCAGCCCCTTCTTCCCCAGCGGCACCCCAGTGTTTGAACAGACCCCAGGCATGCCAATCATCCACACCCAGTTTCTCCCAGTGCCAGAACACATTCACCCATAGCAGATGAGGCCACACTGGTGTCCAAAACATGGGATGAGAAACCCTGCCGAGCCCAACAGACTGTTCTGGACAGCACCAGTCAAGAGCAGGGCCAGGGCTAAACACAGTTCCTCCTCCTGTTTGTTGGGGGTTTCTTTTTTTAAAAGCAGCTGGCCTAAATTCCCAGTTCCATGCACCAGGCCCACTTGTGGTGGAAAGCATCTCTTACGTAAGTGAAAAGCAGCTCCCTGTGTCAGCAGTGGCAAACTCTGCACAGTCTGTGCCTTGTCCTCACTCCACCACATGCTCCTGCAGACACACAACCTGCTGGGTATTTCTGGACTGCATTTTTCAAGCTACAGCAGTGTCATCCTGAATGGCTGCTTGCTTCATGGAGCTACAGTAAATCTGCTGACTGTTCTCAAAATGTCTGACTCCCCTCTCCACCGACGGCGTTCAGTGGGTTTTTTAACATCTGCGTGTTGCAAGAGGTGGGTTGATCTCACCCTGACTATTTATCACACCCGCTCCCAAACGTCCTCCATCTACACTCTCAAGCACTTTTATATTCTTCTTCCTCGGTGCCACTGCGGGACTTACTCTGAGTGACGCCTGTCAATGCCGCTGAACAACTCCCACAGCTCCTCCGAGCTCAGGATCCCGTCAGAGAAATAGTTCTTGAACTCCTCAAATGACAGCTTCCCATCATCTGCATTTCAATAAAAGGGGAGGATAATTATGTATCTGCAGAAAAGCAGGCCCCAAGATCCTCCCAGCAGCCGCTCCACCAGGAGCGGGGACAGCGGGGTGTGTTGTAAGTAATAATTAGAGCAGATATCTCACTGACAGCAGGTCCCACCATCCCACCCAAAGCTCAGGAGTGCTGGCAAGCAGGGACACTGCTGCTGGAGCTTCAGGTGGGAATTTCAGCACCTTCCCAAAGACCCCACTGCAGTGGTTTCAGAAATGCATGCAGACACTCTGATAGATGACTGTGCAAGGAGAGAGTCCATTACAAACAGCACAGGTTTTTATAGTAAGAAAATCTCTCCATTGATTCTCGAGCTTTTCTCTTCCTCTCTGTGGAGGACTTTCAGCTCCTGGGCTGCATTTCAATCTCCAACAAAAGTGGTTCCTGGAACTACCACGAAGGAGAAGAGCTCAGGAGAGCTCCGAGAAATGATTTGTGATTTTGGACCTCTTGGTTTATCGGTGCTGCATTAAAAACTGGGTAGCAGAGCCTAACTCCCAAATGCCAGAGGCTCCAGGGTTACCCAGAGACAGGGTCACCTGTAAAACCCTAGACTGAGCACACAGATTGACTCAATCCCACGAGGGACAGAGCAGAAACCTGATGGCCTCTGGGCCTGGGCTGCTTTGCCATCCCTTCTTGCTCTCAGCAGCACAGAGGAGAGATCACAAGCACACAGGCAGGAGAAGGGCTTGGAGGGGGCTCTGTCCTGCGTGGTGAATGGATGGTGAACTGTCAGAATCCACTCCCCTGCCCCTGGCCAGGCCCTTTGCCCCTTGCAGAAAAACATTTTCCTTGCAGCCAGACTGCTGCTCTGCCCTTATCCCCCCTCTCTCTTTCAGCCAAACCTCCCAGTGGGAACGAGCCACGCTGCTTCACCCAGAGCTGGGCAGGGAGGGGGAGGCAGCAGCAGGAACAAAGCACTCACCGTTCTTGTCGGCTCGCCGGAAAATCTGCAAGAGAAAATACAACAGTGGGGAGAGAAGGGCAGCTGAGCCAGGCAACACCCAGCACCGTGGAAAACCACCTCCTGGAGCCCAGGGAGCCAGGACTGCACAGGCTGCTGTGGGAAATTGCCCTTTGCCAGTGATTAAACCCATTTCTTGCCTCTAATGCACAGAGCCCTCGGTGCAGCTGCGGCGAGCGAGCGAGCCCGGCACTCACAGCGAGCATCTCTTAGAGAACACAGAGGGAGGCAAAGCAGAAAAGGGCTTTGCTACACCCTTGTGATGGCAAATGTTTAATTTTTCAGACCCTGTAAACGAAAGAACATTAAGTATAAAACCACTCCACACGGAAGCACTTGGGGCATCACCAACACTCCAACTGCCTGCACCGAGGAGCAGCTCCTGCCCCACGCTTCGAAACCACCCCTCACGACAGTCCTACCTGCAACACCTCCACGTGCACACATGCTGTAATTAATTATTAATGGATTAATTAATCTGTAACTAATTCTGACACAGAGCACAGCTGGAGAGCTGCTCCAATTCGGGGCCTCGATGCAGGTTCCCAACCACGAGGCTTCTGCCCACGACGCAGGAGAGAGCTGGGCTTGCTCATCCCTGCCAGGATCTGTTTCACCAATAATTACTGGAAGGTCTGGGGCTGACTCCAGTGAGGAATGGCATCATTTCCAAAGCCTGGGGACATCTTCCCAGACCAAACATTACGAGGTTTTGGCCAGCACAGCCTAGTGGACCCAACGACTGAAAGTTGTGTGAGTGGCAACTCTTTCCTTTATGTCATCCTGGGTGATGTAGAAATCCACAGGTCTGCAGAAAGATCAGGAATGGAAAAGGGCAGGAAAAGGAGAAGGAGGACTTTTATATTCTTGCCCACACATCCCCACAGAGCAGCAGGCAGAGGCATCACTGCCCCAGGCTCCTTGTGCACCGCTCACCAACAGCTCTGCGGTGTGTTCTGAGGGCACAAGCCCAAATCCAGCCACTGAAATCTCCCTGGAAAACTGCTCTGAGGTAAAGAGAGAGCTGCCCAGGAAAATCTGCACTGCTCATTCCTAAGCCACTGGCTTGTAACTGAGAATAGGCTTTCCTGCTGCTGGTCCCAGCAGGGAGCTCCGTGGTCCTTCCCTGCAACCGAAACCAGGAGCAGGGACACCTCCTCCAGGAGCAGGGAGCCCTCCTTGGAGGATGCTCTTCCAAACAAAGTGAGCTCCTCTCAACCTGAGCTGCTGCAGGGAACAGAGGCTGCCTTGGGCTGACCAGCATTAGGTAACCATCCTTCTGGGATTCTGTTCCACCATTCCTCTTGCAGGAAAGCAGGGCAGGCAATCCATGAGCACCCCACAGGCCTCGCTGGATGCACTGTGGAGCTGAGATGGGAACCTGCAGCTCCCAACCAGAAGAGATTTCTCTGGATTTTGAAGCACACTTTTCTCCAGGCTAACGGGTTCCTTGTGGGGTCTCCCAGCTGCAGGGTCACACATTCCAGGGCTCCCTGGCTGCAGGAGCAGCACCAGTGGGTCCCACATGTCCTGCCATGGGAACGACACTTTCCATCAAGGGAGAAACTTCATTCTGCAGAGCTCTGTGTCATCAGAGAGACACATGGCTCGTGCATTGACATCTCATGGCTCCAGATGTCACTGAGGCCAGTTAGCTCATCCCAGAGACAGTCAAGTGTCACCCAGGCACTTAACAAACGCAGCCTCAGGTGAGGCCAAACATTCCTTGCCTTCCTCAGGGGGGTCTGTTGGCAGACTATGAGGGAGAACACGGTTCCAGGGGGAAATCCATGAAGATGAGAAGGTCTCTAATCCAGGAGGAGCCCATCCTGGATTTAGCAGGAACCTCAGCAAACGGAGTGGATGCTTCTCCCTCACACGCAGGTGAGCGATGTGTTACACGAGCACTGCCAGTGCACACACGGCAGCAGCTGCTTGAAGGGATTTATTTTAATATGGCACAGGAAGGGAGCTGTGAGAGCCACACAAGGCAAGGCCACACCTGCTCCAGGGCCCCCAGGAATGGCAGGGCTCCTCACTATCACCAGCGAGCCTGTCCCTGGCTGAGCCAGCTGCAGAGGTGCCTCAGTGAGCGCTGCTCCTGTTGGAAAACACCAGCCAAGCACCAACGGTGCAGAGCCACTTCCACACTGCAAGGGGTGAATCCTGCCCCCTCCCTGGGCACAGGCATGTTCTCAGCAATAGCAGGTAAGCACTGCTCCCCGCGTGGGCAGCAGCCTTGGAACAAAGCCAGGGAAAAGTGATGCAAAGCCAGACTGGGAATGGGATCAGGTCTGGGTTGACTGCTGGAGAGGCCCTACAGGCAATCCCTCACTTGCCTCAGGGAGGACTGGCAGCCTCAGAGGCACAGGGACACTGCCTGGAGCCCAAGATGTTCCCCTACCCCCAGCTCCTGGGCTTGCATCCCAGCAGCCACAGCCCTGCTCGATGACTGGAGCGGCAGCTGCTGGGACTGATGGAAGAACTGAAACGGCATTTATTTGGGAGATGAACCCCCTACACACCTCAGGAAGAAGGGACATTATAGGACTTCTCCCTGCCTGCAGGGCCGGGAGCAACGGCGGCCGCTGGACAGGCAGGAAGGGACACAGTGACCACTGGGGAGGGGACAGTCACCCTGGCGACACCGCAGGCTAAGGCAGGCTGCACCAGCCACTGCCGACGAATGGCGTCCTTCTCGAACCTCCCGTATCCCGGGAGGGCAGCGAGGAGCCCCGAGCACCAGCCTGGGGGACAGACCTCCCCACGGCTTGAGACGCTGCACGGGGAAACAACCGCGATGGCAGCGCTGCAGTTGGTACCGCGCCTGCAGCGAAGCGTCTCAGGCAAAGTCCTCCTCCTCCTCCTTCTCCTCCTTCTCCTTCTCCTCCTCCTCACCTCTCCCAAAGGCAGGCCATCTGCAGGCAGGTCCCAGGGGAAGCAGAAGCTGCCACCTTGAATTTGTGGTGGGCAGTCCTGCCGGGAAGGCAGGCTGGGCATCCTTCCTTGTTGACACTTTGCCCCAGCAAGCCTGGGGGGCAGCTGGACACCAGCCAACTGCCCAGAGCCAAGAGTGGAGACGTTAAACTCGCCCTGCCAAGCTCTGGAGCTGAGGTGGGAGCAAAGGAAGCCGCGGGGAAGAGGAAGAGAAGCCGTCAGAACCCGGAAAGCAGCTGCGAGAGTTGTTAACATTTCCCATTTTAATTGCCTTAATGACACCCTAAGGGATGGATGTGGGACTGAGCGAGTGCCCCGAGGAGCTGAGCTGGAACACAGCTGTCATCACCCACCCCCTCCAGCCCATCTTCCCTCAGCCAAGTAATTAGAATGGTTAATGATGCTGGCTGGAGAGCCTTCCAGCCCAAAATCCCCCCAGGCAGGAGAGAGATCCTGACTCCCAGCTGGAAGCTGCAAGCACCACCCTGACAGAGGGAACTGTGCTTCCCAGTGGCGCCAGGGAGATGCCAGGAGGTCTCGAACTGGACCAGGCACGGCACTCACCTTCCTAAAGTGCTGCCTGAGATCCTCTGGGATGAACTGGGACATGGGGGTGAACCCGGATTGGGACAACACGGAGATGACAGCTGGGGGATGACAGCTGGGGGAAGACAGCTGGCACTGACCTGGGCTGGGCAGGTGCTGGGACACCGCCAACCCCCATCCTTAACCCCCGCTGGCTTTCTCCTCCTCAGTCCTGCGGCTGGGCAGGGGCAGCACCTCCACTCACACATCTCCTTGGCTCCACGGGGTGACTCAGACCACAGTGGTGTCGGGCACAAGGGCTGGTGGTCCACCACGGAGATTTGGGCACTGTCCACCAGACCCAGCTCACAGAAGACAGCCAGGGCCAGGAGGGCCGAGCACCTCGGATGTGTTCCAGAGATGGGCTCTGACCCTGGGAGACAGCCCTGGCCCCAGGGCGCACAGCTCCCTCTCCTAGGAGCACCCCCGGCTGGAGGGGCCGCGGTGTGATGGGAGGCACCGTGCCAGCACCTCTGAACACGCAGACAGCCACTCTCTGCACCTTAACTCCCCCCGGCCGCCCACAGCCGCTGGGATGCCAGGCCGACCCCCAACCTGCACGGCGCATCCTCCTCCGCACCTCCCGGCGCGCCGGGAGCGGGCAGGGACGGGAGCTGCGCCCGGGGGCTGCAGCAGGCAGCGCTCTCCCTCCCCACGGACCCCTCCTGCCAGGCACCCGCAGCTCCCGCTCCGGGCATCACGACAGCCGGCTCTGGATGAGGCGTGGGCTGTTTCCAGCCACCCGGAGGCCCATAATTCATCAGAATGACACGACACCATTATTAAAGCCATCACGACTCCAACACCTCGATGCACAGCTCCGGGCTGGCGCGTCCTCCGGGCTGGTTCCGCCGGGAAGAGGCGGGAAAGAGTCTCCCCCTGACACCCACCCCCGAGGGCAGGCACGGCGGCCCGGGGGCGATGGAGGAGGGTGCCAGGGGGCCCGCCCGAGGTACTTACGTCGTGGAAGATGGGGAGCGGCTGGCGGCGGGGCGCGGGGCCGCGCTCGGCGGAGAGCAGGCACACGGCCAGCAGCTCAGCACAGGACATCATGGTCCCGCCGGGCGCGGGCGCTGCGGGCTCCGGGCACGGTGCGGTGCCGTAGGGATGGGTGCGGTGCGCTGCCGAGTGGCACCGTAGGGGCACGGTGCGCTGCCGTAGGGAGCGGTGCGGTGCGGTACGGTGCCGGCGGGATGGGCGCGGTGCGGTGCCGTAGGACGCGATACCGGAGGGACGGACGCGGTGCGGTGCCCTAGGGATGGATGCAGTACCAAAGGGACGGACGCGATGCGGTGCCCTAGGGATGGATGCGATACGGAAGGGATGGTTCGGTGCGGTACCGAAGGGATGGATGCGGTACCGAAGGGATGGATGCGGTACCAAGGGGACGGACCCGATGCGGTGCCGGAGGGACGGACACGGTGCGGTACCGAAGGGATGGATGCGGTGCGGAAGGGATGGTTCGGTGCGGTGCCAGAGAGATGGATGCAGTGTGGTGCCGGAGGGATGGATGCGGTGCCGGAGGGAAGGATGCGGTACCGAAAGGATGGTTCGGTGCGGTGCCGGAGGGAAGGATGCGGTGCGTGGGTCGCGCCCCGCAGATCCCGACTCAGTCGAGCGGCTCCGCCAGCGCCAGGCAACTTTGGCTCCGCGGCGGGCCCGCCCCCGCCGCCACCCGATTGGCCACGGGCCGTGATTGGCATCAAGGGCCACCACTGCGGAGGGCGGAGCGGCGGGGCTGGGTCCCGGTGCCCGGCGCTGCCGCGGGGGCGATCCCAGTTGAACCCCGCGGTGCCTCCAGTTGGCTCCAGTACAGCCCACTGTGGTCCCACCCGTGGGCTGTGTGACCATCCCCGAGTGTCCCTGTTGCTCCCAGTGTAGCCACGGGTGGTCCCAGTGTGCTCGCTGTGGGCCCCACTGTAGCCGTGGGTGCCCCAGTTGGCCCTGGGGTCACTCTAGTTTGGCCATGAGTGCTCCCAGTGTGGTCACTGTTGGCCCTAGGGTAGTCCTGGTTTCCCCAGTTGGTCCCAATTTGGTATGGGTTGTCTCGGTGCAGTCAGTGTTGGCCCTGGGGCTGCCCCAGTTCTACCATGGGTGGTCATAGTGTGGCCACTATTTGCCCTAGCATATCTCTGTCCCTGTGTGGCCCCAGCTGGTCCCAGTTTGACCACAGGTTGTCCCAGTGTGGACACTGTTGGTCCTGGCAAAGCCCTGGTTTCCCCAGCTGGCCCCGGTTTGGTCCCAGTTTGACCACGGGTGGTCCCACTGTGGTTGCAGTGCCCCTGGAGTGCTCCCCTGGCACCCAGGGTGGCTCCAAGTGACTTCCCTGCCTGCCCACGGTGCCAGGCAGCCTTTGCTCGGTGCTGCTTCCCTCCAGCGTGGCATACTGATGGCTGAGGAGGAGGAGGAGGAAGCAGGAGCTGCCTCCATCCCTGCCTGACACCTGGAGGCCTCTGCATGCGGAGAGGAATAAGACAGACATCTGTGTCCGTATCCCAGCCTGTCCACAGGGGTTTTCCTAAACAAGAAACAGATAATTAGATAAATAAACCAGATAAAGCCATGGCTGGGCAGAGCTTCCCACGCTCACAGGGCACACACGGTGCAGGGACTTCTTGGGGCTGCTCCTTCTCCCTCTCGGAGTATTCCAGGATTTCACTTACAGAGAAAGGGACATGAACTGGTTTTGCCCCCATGAGCAGCACCTCTGCTTTCACATGGAGCTCTCAGCAACACCCTGTTTGCTGAGCTCAGCTCTGCTTAACCTGGGTCTCAAATCCGAGATGCTTCCCCATCCCAACGGGACCGAGCTGTGGCACAGGGAGTTTTGCTCGTCCCCTCCTCCCTCAGGGATAAGAGGCTCCAAGCTGAGCCTGGAGCAGTTGCAGGATGCATCACAGCTATTTTTAACCTCTCCCAGCTGTTCCAGGTGGAAAAAAGTGCACCTGGGCCCTGTTGGGGGTTATCCAAGGGCTCTGGAGGGCACGTGCTCTCACACACGGAGCACAGGACTGTCCCCACCCCAGGGAGGCAGAGAGAGGTCCTAGGACTGGAGCTGTTGAGTGTGGCCATCAAATCCAACCCAAAAGGAAGCAGGAAAAAAAAACACGGGCAGGGGACACAGCAGGGACAGGGATCACCCTACCAGGGAGTGTGGGAAGGTGGGACTCTGTCATGGACCAAAGCAAAGCCTGGGAGGGCCTTCCCAAACTCCTATTAGCTAAAATCCATGCTCTGTCCCCATCGGAATGCCTCAGGGTCAGCATGAGTTCCTGAGGAGCAGCTGGGTAGTGAGGGAAATCAAAGTCCAGGACAAAATTGCCAGTGGCAGGAGGGAGTTGGTGCCCCCAGCTCCTTCCATAGGTGCTTCCAGAGCACCCTGAAAGCCACAGCAGGGAATGGTGACATCAGTCCAGCTGAGGGGGACATCAGGGCTCTGGTCTGCTCCCCAGGACCACAACGGGCTGGGATTAAGGGAAGCACCCACTTGCCAGAATTCCAGAAATAAACAGCGCTGGGTTTGACCTCCTGAAGTTCCTTCCTTCCTCATGGAAGAAACATGGGAGATGTTTGAGAGTGGAAATACGGAAGTTTGGGGCAGGATGCAGAGGTGGGGCAGGCAGCATCAGCACTGGCAGGGACAAGACATCCCTGCCTAGAGAGACCCCAAAACCTGCCCAGACATCCCAAGGGGGGTTAGGTTAAAGGTACAAACCCCCTTAGGGAGGGGTCACCTAATTCTGCCTCCCCAGCCACTGCCAGGCTATCCCAGAGCTCATCCCACTGTGGGGCTCTCCTGACTCTCCCCGAGTCCAAACCTCACAGCACAGGGGCAGGAGGCTCCATTGCTGCCTGGGATCAGCACCACGGCCACATCCTGCACAGCATCTGCTGGTGCCAGTGGAGCTGCCCAGGGCTGGATGGGCACGATCCCTGCGGGGTAACACTGAGATGGGAGCAAACAGGAGCTGAGAGCCCATGGAGCTCACCCAGGATGTGTGCAGGATTCTCATCTCCTGGACCGTGTTGGCTTCGCCTGACAAAGAGAAGCATCTGTGGAGCAGATAAATAAAACCAGGCAGTGCCTGGGGCCGCTTCCCAAAGCTACCATGTGCTCTTCCAAACCAGTTATCATCAGCTCCTTCTCCAGTGATCTGAAATAGCAGGAGGGAAGCCCTTCAGCTGCATCGTGAATCATCCCTGGGAGGCAGAGTGGTTATTTTTATGGTTCTGTGGCTCACGTGGAGCTGCCAGTGCATCCCTCAGAGATGGGCTGTAGCAGCAGGACACAGTCCCATCCCTACTGGAGGGTGCTTCCATGGGGACCAGGAATCCCAAGGGCCCAGCATCCCAGGAGGTTCCCTATGAAGGGAATGTGATGGTGAATGCCATCAGAGGTTTGCCTTTGCTCAGGGGAAAAGGGAAAAGCTGTGCTGCTGTGTGTGTGTGGGGGGGGGTTGGATGGCCACAGGAACTGCTCTGTGGAGCTCAGGGTGTCACTGTGAGTCCTCTCTCCTCTCCTTGTGCCAGGGTCTCTCCTCTTTGGGCAGCGTTTCAGACCTCCATCACCCTCCACCACAGTGGAACTAAACAAGAAGAGAAGGAGGGGGAGTTGGCATATGGCTGAGCTGGGCACTCCACAGGAAACCATAAACCCTGCAGCACCTGTCACCCCAAGGTGACAAACACTGACCTTGTAACGAAGGAAACAGCGGGCAGGGACCAGAGCCCATGCCCACCCACCTGCCACCCCATCCTCCTGCCTTGGTTTGGAGGGGCAGGAGCCCCACGGATCAGAGCTACAGGAATGTTCTTCCAGTTTGTTCAGAAAAGCCCCCTTTGCTGTGGTGACAGTGTGACAGCAAACACGAGCTCTTCCCTCAGACAGAGGGGTCACTCTAGACAAGCTGTGTGTGCCCCTGCCCTCCTGGGCACTGTTTTGGGGATGCCAGGGCCTGGCTGGCCCCGCTGCCGAGCTCTGGAGAGCTGGGAAAGGGGAGGGAACTGAGCCAGGGGGTTGGGCACCTACACCTACACCTGCACCCCGCGATCCACACGTGTCTGGCTGCAAGAACAACTCCGTGGCAGCACAGCGAGCCAGGGACTGTGGCAGGGTGTGCAAACAGAGGCTCAGGGATGCAGACAAGAGGCCAGGCTGTGCCACCCAGCACCCGCCAGCAGCCTGGCCAGAGCCTGTGCTCCCATTCCCTGCTGGCACAGGAGCAGGGTGAGCTTACACAACGTGCTGGGGCTGAAATATTTATCAGGCTGTTCAAAGGCAAACCAGACAGGAGGCCGGGCGAGAGGGGAGCAAGCACACAAACAGGGGGTGCTGGCCATGGCCCCCCTGAGCCCACTCCAGGCTGCCAGGGGGTCCTTGGGTACTCCAAGCATCTCTCCCTGGGTGTCCCCAGTGTCCCTCAGTCACAGTGTGGTGCAGAGAGGACTGGGGCACTCGGGGTCAGGGCTGCCACTGGCAGCCAGTGTGTCCCCAGGGAGCAAGGACACGGTGAGCTCGAACTTTGGGCCAGGAATTGGTGCCAGCAGGTGCCTTTAGGCAGCACCAAGAGGTGCTAGGGCAATCAGGGGAAGCTGGGAAGTCACTGGGAGCCTGCTGGTGTGGTGGATGCATGCACTGGTTACACACTGGCCCCATCCTACCACACTCTTCCCAGAGCAGGTGCTACAGCCAGGGGCCCCTCCCTCCATGCAATGCTGCCCCAAAACCAGGGGGAAGGCAGGGAGGGGGACCAGGCAGGAGAGCAGACAAGTGGGGACAGGGGCTGCCAAAAGGAAAAGCAATCCCCATCCAGACCCATCACCACATCCCCCTGCAGCACAATCTCTTTACAGGAGCAGCAGGGGCAGAATCAGCCCCAGCTCCCACCCCACACCTGGGATGGTGTGGATTTGCAGGAGGAAAAAACATACTCAAGGACCAAAGCACCTCCTGGAGCCCCAGGCATGGACAGACCTGGTGATGCATTTCAAGTTTGAAATGGAAAAAACCCCCTCAAAACCAAAAAATAACCCTAAACCACTTGGTTTCTCAACTGGGGGCCCCACCACCCCTAAAACCCCCAGGCACCTGAGCACAGCTGAAGGGCAGAGTCAGTAGAAACCTTTATTAAACACGAAGCTCAGAGGAACACAAGCTTATTAAATGGCAATAAAAGTGAAAGTGCGTCTCCAGCCCGGCCCAGGGGGACCCCAGGACCCCCCTCTCCTCCCCTCCCATCCCAGTGGCCTGGGAATGGGGAGACAGAGCCAAAAGCCTGAAAGGCTGCACGGGGAGGGGAAGAAAAGCCTGGAGACAGCGTTGGGTCCTTACCTGTAGAGATGCACTCCCTGGGACACCTCTGTGTCCCCTAAGGAGACATGCCCATGGTCCCTGGGGCCACCAGGCCCATCCAGCCCCGTTCCCCCCTCCCACAGCCACTGCCACAGCTGTGGCCTTGCCAGCCTCATTTTGGACATGAGCAAAGCCAGGATGTGCTGGCAAGGCCCCGGTGGCCTCCTGTTCCTTCCTGCCCCCTCCACGTCCCGGGAGAGCTCCCACACGCCATAAATAATAAATAAATACCCCGTGCTCAGCCAGGCTCTGGGCAGCTCC